TAGCTTACGTAGTTCTATAGCACAACACTCTATGACGCCTGGCAAAGACTGATTTGCAATATGTTTCAGTTCCTTGTATTCATGGCCATTCCTAACCAGTATGCAAGCGCCCCCACGCTTTTTAGAATCCCTCGCGTAACATGCCGCTAGCTTGAAATTTGGTATATTTAATAACGGTTCATGTCCCGACATTATAAAATGTTCCGTAATACATAATACGTCCAATTTTATATGTTTCCCCCAAAAATTTTCAATGTGAACTGTTAAAATGTCAGATTTATTTAAAAGTCCAGCAATATTTTGGTGCAATATATATACGCAATTATCATACACGAAAAAAGTTAATGTCAGTTATTGTGTCTACATGATCATTGAAAATGGTTTGCTCGATGTTACTATTGACAGCATATAGTTGAATTTCTTTTATACGAATGAGTATGTCATTGAAAATAGTTGCCATTCCACAATTATTTAGGCTGCCTGTACGTCTATTAAACATTTTGTAATCACAAGTTAAGTTTCTGTTACTGTCTAAAAAATAAGCATGTTCATTTGCTAGTATTTATATCTAAATACAAAAGGTTATTGAAATTTTCAACTCGCCAATTGAACATTGTTGAGTAGTAACTGTATTTGTATGTCGGTGTACATATGACAATGTGAGTATGCTGTACTTTCTTAAGAGCCTCCCTTATATCAAAAATCATGCTGAAATAATCTTGAGTCGATATAAAATCTTCTTGGCCTATTAGAATAATGCAATAATCGTTCAAAGTGTAGTCTTGCAATTTTGTTTCTATGTTCATTAATAATTGCTTAGTGCTGCCATCTCTTACCAAGTAATGGCACAGGTTATAGTTACCAGAGAAAGTCTTTTCGGCTATTGGTAAAATTTTGTTAGTACTATTACAGCTTAGTATGCAGATTTTATGTTGTATAACATTCTGCTGGTGCAGCTGATGCTGCTGGTAGCCATCGTGATGATTTTCTAGTACTACGTCTGTGGGATTTAACATAGTCGTTGGCTTTTCGGGTATGTCTAATGGGGTTTGAGTATGTTTATGTTTAATTTCTCGTATTTTTTTCGGTGTTGAATTGTTCGAAATTGCATATTTTTTTGTTGTTTTGTTTTTTGCAATGGGACTGCATGATGTTGCTGTTTTATAAAGTTCATTTTTCTTTAAGAGATTGCTGTTCATGCGTTTGAGATCAGCATTTTCACTGCAAAGTGCTTCCACTTCCGTATGAGCACTCTTCAATTCGAGAGTAAGTTCCTCAATCTGTTGTCTCAGTTTTTTTATTAGTTCATGTTGGGTAGTAGAATCCAAAGTTGAGAAATCAGGCAGACTAGTGCAACTATCTTCACTACATAAAAATGTTGAAACTGCACTTTGATTGCAGACTGTACTAGAGTCCAAGGACGCGCGTTTTCGACGAAATGTTATATTGTCGAGAAAGTTCATGATTTTTTCTCTTCCCAAAAAAAGTCTTCTTGATTTTAAATTACTAATTAATTAATCTAATTATCGATTTTATTATCAATTCGGAACCTACAAGTAGCGCCCTCTTGTTTGTTATGATAAGTTTCTTTATAGCGCACTAACAGTTTAGTGGTAAGGTTAAGTTAATTTTGTTAGTCGCCACTAGTAGTTGTTACTTACTTCAGATTGACTTGGTAGCTCAATACTGTGTTGTATGTACTCGTATACTTTATAATCTAAAAACTTATAAAGAAATTTCAATACTATTCCTCCCAAAAAATCTTCTTCATACTAAGATTCGAACTGCCGCCTTAGGATATCCAAAGCACAGCCATTATCTAACATGCCACAGGATCAGTTAACGAGTGACATCAAAATTAAGTACTTCTTTCTACCAAATGTATTTTTTAAATCAGCTAATCAGTTAAAAGTGACTCATCGCTTAGGAATTTTTTTTCACATTCCTGTCACTCACTTCGCAATATAATGTTTGTCTATTTTGTCGAAATTGTCACTGTTGGTGCACTTTCATGTTCACTGAGAGGATTTTAGTGTATGAAGTAAAGTATTTAACACTGCTTTATACTATTTTTTTAATGTTTATTAACGTTTTAAAGATCACAGAATTTTTGTTAATTCATACACTGTTAATTCATATATACTCGATAACGTTAGTACACTTTCTGCAAACCGTCAAAAACTTATTTTATACATAATTTAGAAAGTTAACACTAAAAAACTATTTTTAAAACCAAAATTAATATGGAGCTTATTTAAGTACGTCGTCCTTGCTACAGCGCCATCTACGCTTCAGGAATCGGGAATCAGAGAGATATTAATCGCCCACTATAACTTAAGTTAACCGGACAATTTAGAAGTTAAATGGGAAAATTAGTGGTATATTAAAAATAAAGGTAGATAAGAAGAAGGGGATATTATTTAAACGGATAAATTGGGAAGTCAGGGAATGGGGTTTCATGTTTGAAATTCGAATGGACAATAACCAGCCAGAAAAGCCAGGTCAACTAGAACTGGATAATTAAGAGAAGAATAGCGTAACAAACGATACAAACACGTTATCTCAGTGTGAACCATATCTCTATTAAACACGCTTTTTATCACAATACAAAAACTGTACGTTTCAATTTATCTCTTTACACGAACCCTTTAGTTCTGAGACGTGATTTGGAATCAAGAAACCATTAATCATTGGTCCGATGACGACTATTTGTGTCAAATCATCATTATTTGACGTAATCCTATAAATCATTTGAGAATAAATTGTGGAGACAAATGAAATGATTTTTGACAATGATGGTCAACGGGCTGTGAAAATGGACAGAGTTTTGTGAGAATATCTGTTTGGAAACTAGGGTGTACATAAAACTGGAAGCTGATCAGTCAAGTGATAAGCTTAGGTACGTACCAGTTTTTGATTGCCATGAATAACAGTGTGAGAGAAAGATGATAATTCATTGGAATAACGACTTTGGAATAAACGGCTAAGATTGAGAATCAAATCGACGGGTATTTTGGTATAGTGGTTAGCGATAGTGACCTAAGCCAGAGGTCGAGGATTCGGTTCCCACCCATGACAATATTGGCATTCCTGTAACTCAAACTGGCTGTTGTCGGAAAATGTATAATTTGCCAGTTTTGTAAAAAGGAACCCGCTGGTTAAAATGTTTCTGCCTCTAAAGAAAACCTCGAGGTGTACCTAAAGTTTCGATTTTTGTTTAAATAACTTTAATTTTTAATAGTTCACATCGAATTAGCCATTTAAAAATTTGTTTGTTCACGGATAATTCTTGAACACAATAGAACCGTACAATTTTGAGTGACCATATAAATTAAACATTTTTTGAATTACAACATTTCAGTATATTACTTTCATCACATCATCACATCAATAGCCTTTGTAAGGAGGGTTTGGCCTACTATACCACGCTGGCCAGACTCAAGTTTGTGTCAAGGTTTTCTTCTCTTTGCAGTGCTGTTGTCCTGCGTAGTTTGCTCCCTTAGTCGGCTCTTACGACACCCACCGGATGAACAGGGGTAGTGACAATTCGTATTCTTAATCCTACACTACAAGGATAACTTTATTACTTTAAAATATCAATGCAACATCGTCATGCACATGTTTTGAAACATGTAAAAACAACCACTTATGTATTTAAAAGCCTCATTGAAAATATTACTATAAGTCATCTACTTATTTTCACTCAAATACAATAATTACGATTTGTATTTAAACAAGAAAAACGTGTTCTTCTAGTTAAGGTGTGGTTTTACTGGCACGACTTTGATGAGCGATAGTACATCGATACTTGATTTATGTTTGTCGTAAAAGTGACCGTTTTATTCCCTTTAGCGTTTGATGGGCTACTTCTCTGTGTTTACTAAGTATTATAGAGCTTGGTTTTTACTTCACCACAAGATTGTGTAAAGTTTTGTGTGCGGCTGATGCCGTAAAAATCATTTTAAAGGTAAATATGTTAAGTGCTCCAAATGGTTTTCATTACAGTATTATATTTTGCAAAGTAAGAAGGTAAAAGGTAGAGGAACGTTTTTTTGTTAGTTTTGTACAGCTTATAATTTTAGAAGTAAAAAGAAGGCAGTAATTTTTTTTGTTCTGAAAGATTAGATGTACTTGCAAGTTTTTTTAATCTGTTCGTCTCCATAGAGTCAGTAAAATACAATACATTTTCAGGATTAAGATTTAGTTAGAATAAATTAGATGTGTAGCTACATAGATGGCATTTTACAATATATAGTAGTTTTGGTCTCTTTACGTTTTCTCTCAAAAAATAATAGGTACAATGTTACGACCATGATGTCTGCCTGCTGCTAATGCTAATTGCTATTTAAGAAAGAAAATAAATTGGTTATAGTTAAACAGAAAGTGCATAGCCTATAGTGCTCCCTTTATATTTACAGTGAAAAACAAATATCTAAGTCTAAGTGATTAGCTAACAAAAATGTCACAGAAAGAAATGTGACAGAGTTGTCCGTCAAACAAAACGCAGTAATGAGAACGATCACAATTTGCACAAACCTTGCATTACACGTTTCTAACGAACTTGGTTTATCTCAGCTATCTGTCGTTAGCTAGAATTATACGCGTATTAGCTAATTTATTTACCGCAATAGCAGATGATGAAACTGGAACCGTTTTCTTACACCGTCTTTAACCGACTATTTTTTTTTTTTTTTATCCCAACCTAATAGTTCCAACTAGAGCAGTTATATCAGATATTTTACAATTATTATTTGCTATTGGTACGCGTCTTTAAACCAGAAAGGTGAGGTCAAAGTTTTAGGACGCCACGGCCCAATTTAGGTACCTATCCAACAGCAACAGCAAACTATTAAAAGTGTAAACAAGTTGAGCCTGAAAACAAACACAAATCTGATTCAACTCCTTTACATCTATAGGTATTATAGGTGTTTTATATAAAAGTAAACCAACAAATTGTTTCTCTTCTTTCGATAAAAGCAAGAAGTATTATTTATGGTGCAATGCAAGCGGATAATACCCCATCAACTCCACAAAGACATCAAAATATCGACGTTGGTAAAAGTACCAGAGAATAATAACACGATAGCAGTGATATTGTAAATAGGCATAAGCCGGGGACACCTGTGTTACGCATCCAGTGTGGATAAGACAAAAAATAAAGAAAAAAAGCACTTGGCTATCAATGCATTGTAAAGAAAAGAGTGGATATGGTACATGTTGCATTCGTATTTGCATTGTAGTCACAAGGTATTAAGTATAATGACGAAGCCACGATTATGTTCATTGGACTGTCTGGGTGTTTCTGACTATAAAAATGTGTAGTCCTAGAATATTTATTGGAACGAAGTTCTTTATCGCGCGTTACATGCTCTAATCGGATGGGAGCGAGACCGAAAAATGTGTAACAAGACATTTTCCGACACTTCGGTTGGCTCGACGCATTTTTTTCATCATCATATTATATATAGCAAACGTCTACCAAAAAGTAGCTTTGTTCACTCCTTACGCCACTCAGAGCGTGTATCGTTCCAATAAATTTATCGATAAATATGACCTCCAGTTATCCATGTCCATACTATTCTTACGGTTCTATACAAATGAAACAGCGCTATCTTCCCTCTCTTCCTCTCAACTGGTTGGTCGCTGCACGTGTGCCGTAGAAACGGGTTTCGCTCGCCGACGGACCCAAGATTTTATTAATTTGTGTTTCTTATACATTTTGTACGTTACCTCTTCGACGCTTCTGTTCGCCTGGTCCGCTCCATCGATATTGTTGATAACAAATTGCTTTTCTTTGTTCTGTCATGGCGACCTTTGTTTTTTAAATAATAAGCTCAAAAGCTACCTGTCCGACTTGAAATATTTGTATGGGTCTGAGAATGATTGGCCTGTTTTTGCATATTAAATAAACTTTGAAACTAAATTGCGGTATTACTTGAAGATTTATTAATACAAAGTAAAAAGTTAATTCTAAATACTTAAGTATTTTTTGCCCCTATGCCACAAGAAAAACCTGTTGAGGTTATTATATATTCCTTAAATGTACTAACTTACCTATAATAAGTACCTACACACTTAATAAACAATTATAAATGTAACATTTAGGCATTCATTGATAATTGTTACATAAATGTACATTATATCATACAATACACAATTCATCCAGATAAGACATCAAACCCACGACCTCTGACTAAACAATCAGAATCGCTTACCACTAGACCAACTTACAAATCCGTAAATAAACTTCTCAAAGACGATTAATTTTCAAGGAGCAAACTTTATTCGAAATAAAAAAAAAACCTTAATAACTGCACCGAAGTCGATTATGTTGATTAAAAGGCATCGCCATAAATATCCAAGGCGAGGCGCTTTCGGCAACATTCTGATCTGCCTCATCATTTTGATGTTATTTTGAATATGTTTTATTTATTCGTATTTTGTTCCTTTGCCAAGTCTGACGTATTTTATTTTTGTCTAGCCTCGGTTGAACAAACGTATACGCTTTTAAAGGTACATATTTGAAAAGGTGGAGACTCGAGAAGAAAATATAACAATGTATATGCATACAATCAATAATTATAAAATAACTTGATCTAGTAACAGATCAGATCAAAACTGTTACAGGTAGTCAGCCCGTGACCATAGCTAGAGCAAATTGGTCAAAACTGTAGGCAATTTAAAAGTATGTCTCACTAAAAGTTAACGTGATCATGTGAATTCTCTCTAGTAATGTAAATATCACGGAACGCGAATGCTTAAAAAAAAATTTGATTACCTATTGCCAGAACTATCTATTTATCACGTTATTTTTTGAGCAGAAGACGGGTCACCTGATACCCAAGTGCGAGTTTATTTCACATCTACTTGATCCTCACGGTGACCGCGTTCAGTGCTGCGATTGGCCCACACTGAAATCTTCACCAATCGCAATCGTGTCAAGTAAACTCACAATTAGGCATCTAAGGGCCGAGTGTAAGTTTATTTCACATCGACTCGCTCTCGACGGTGAGCACGTTTGGCGTTGCGATTGGTGGAGATTTCAGTGCGGTCCAATCGTAGCTCCGAACGCGGTCACCGTCAACGATCGAGTCGAAGTGAAATAAACTCGCACTTGGACTCTGATTGTAAGTGACTACTACCGCTTATAGACACCTACAACTCAAAACGGAACCCTAAGGCTGTCGCACAGGTTTCATAATCACACTATTAGAACTACAGTCTTTAAATTTTCACATTATGTAGATTTTTATTGACCCTTGTATCTTCATCTTCTTCATTTTACAGCCTTTACTAGACATAGGCCTCTCCTTAGAAAGGAGGTTTTGGCCTACTACACCACGCTGGCCAGACGGGTTGGTATAGGGTTTGTTTCAAGTTTTCCTTCTCTCTGCACTGTTGTTCTGCGTAGTTTTCTCTTTTGGTCGGCTCTTGCGACACCCCGAAGATGGATAGGTGTGGTGACACTCTGTATTCTTAATCCGTCACCACACGGACAGACCCTTGTATACCAATTGTCAAAAAAATTTTTTAATGCTCTCAAGCAGTTATTTTTTGGCGACAAAAATTGACCTATTTACCTACCTAACCCATCGAGTAGCATATTGTAACCCTAAATATGCGAAGTACAAGACGCACGACCCTCGACAGTTATACTAGAATGTTAAAAATAAAGTAATACATTATAATATATTCAATTATAATATTCACTCTCACCTAACTTTTTGATAATGTACATTACTTAAAGAAGAACTTAGTAACGTGGCATACACATACCAGTATTCATATAAACCACTCCAGCCAAGCTAAGTGTCGCAGATCATAACCATAACGCCGTCGTCACTAGCATAAAATTAACTGCAGGATAATAAAATCCTCAAGATATAGACCCTAAAGGCTATTTGTGTTGTGCCTTTACCATTTCTTGTCGTGATTTTTTCTGTCTTTGCTCAGTAGTGGTTAAACCAAGCTAAATAAATCATTTTTTTTATCGTAGAAGAGCCCTGTTTCCACGCATATAGGCCACCTTGACCAAAGTCATTCTTTCGTGGCTTTTCACCAAGTGAATGAGGTTACTAGAGACCCAAACCAGTTGAGTCACCCCCCATCATTCTGCTGGGGAAGGGGGGTGGGAGGGGACTCATAGGACGGTAACACACTTGTATCTCTTGAATTTCAGATGTCCGTGGCGCGTGGTTGTCACCATCAGGCATCGTCTGCTCCTTTTAATAGAACCATAAAATTTACAAAATCGTCTACACCCTCAAGGTATATAAATATAACTATATCCATTCATTCTAGCTTTCATAGTACAAGCATTGCTTAGTTTGAAAACAGATGTCCGAAAAAAAAATTACAATATACCTTACAACACATAAAAAAGTTATTGGAAAGCCAAATCATTAGCTACTGTATATTCGTTTGGTGAGCCCCATTGTTCAGACCACACGTACGGACAAAAATAATTTAAGACCACAATTGTTTTTGGTGAAAATAACAGGTCTGTAAAAGTATATTTTGTGTGAGCACTTCTGGGCAGGAGTATTGCCTCATTTTGTCTTTTAAATCACCAAAGCAAAGAAGACAAAAATTTACTTGACATTTTTTGCCCAACATTTGTAACAAAACACAAAAAGGAAATGGCAAAACATGTGATGGATATGAGAAAATACGAGTCAAATGTGGAATTGACAATGTGTTGTGGATTTGTTCAAAAGTAAATATATCTAAATCCCATTCTAAGACAGCATTTCTGTAGATTTTTTTTAATGTATCTATTCATAGGCCATTCCTATATCTTCCGTTGGTATACTCCTCCCAGTGGTTTTATTTTAAGCTTATTGGCTATTTAACAAATTATTTAATAAAACATAGGTGTTATAATGCGAATATATTGTTTTCAAACATCATAAATCATTGTTCCGTGTGATGACGGATTAAGAATACGAAGTATCACCACCCCTATTCATCCCGTGGGTGTCGTAAGAGCCGACTAAGGGAGCAAACCACGCAGGACAACAGCACTGCGAAGAGAAATAAAACTTGAAACAAACCCAATGCCAACCCGACTGGCCAGCGTGGTATAGTAGGCCAAAACCTCTTTTCTAAAGAGAGGTTTATGTCCAGCAGTGGACTATTCAAGGCTGTTGATGAGATGACGATGATGTGATTAATCTGTTATATGTACATTAATTACACTCATTACATATTACAAATTAACTATATGATTGGAGTAGGTAAAGCAACCTCCTTGGACCTGGATAGTTGCCTGGTCTCAAAAATGAGTCCTGAAATAACGTGGTCCGGGTCTCCTCGGAGAATTGCCTGAATCCGGCCGTCGGGGTGATTTTTTGTGGAAACACCACATACTCCTGGCTCCTGGGTCCCCGAGGAGCCGGAGATTCAAAGGAATTTTTGGCTGGCAGGAAGACACACTACTGACTCAGAGCAGTGCGTTTGCAGAAGCTTTTTAAAGTTAAGATAACAACAAAATCAGAGAAACATTTTGCTAAAAATATACTTACAAGAAGTAAGGGTTCACCCACGTGAACATTATAAGCTAGCAAAACGTAGGCGCAACTAATAAAGATTTTGATTTATTACCACTGATATTTTAGCTTGGTGTTTTTGAACAGATAACAATATAAAACTCCTTTTATGGATCTGAGGCAGGGAATGATAGCTTGGGATGTTTACGAATAGAAAGTTGATATAAACGCTCAACTCGTGCTTGGCGTGTTACGAAGTCTGTGTTATTTATTTATATACAAAAATGTGTAAACCTTACAGTAATCGTAGTTTTTTTTATATAAAAAGACAACTCCCGAACTAGGAATATGTCCTGTGTCACTGGAGTTTTAACAAACATTCATGAAACAGGCATTAGGAATACCCAGACACAGAGCAAAAATTTGTGGATCACATAAAATGTTGTCCCAAGTGGGGACTGAATCCACAACACTTGGCGCAGTAGGAAGCGGCGAAGTGACCACTTAAACCAATACGCGATCCGTGCATTCGATATGTTGAACTAAATAGCACGCATTTTCAACCTGTTAAACATTGCCGTCCCTTTTCACTAAATTACATCCACGTAATGTGAAAGCGAGAGGAAAGATGTTACACATTTGAGCAACCTTTAGTCCACTGCTGGACATAGGCCTCTCCTTAGAAAGGAGGTTTTGGCCTACTATAACACGCATTAAAAAACTTAAAATACTACAACTTACTACACTAACTCGTAAAACAAAGAAGTTAACATTAGGACTGCCTCGGTGGTGCATTGGTAACGTATGCGACTGGTGAGCCTCGGGTTCGATTAAGGGATTAGCCCAAATGTTTGTAACATCTGAAAATATGTATGCATTTATTTAAAAAAAGTATATAATAATATTATGTATTCTATCAGTTGATCTAGCTTTCAAAGTACAAGCTCTCTGTTTGAAACTAGATGGCATTATGTGTCAAGTTATTATTAGCTAAATATACAAACAGTAACAGGAGACAGTAGTTGAAAAATGATGACATTTTAGTCTCAGATAACGAATCGATTAAAATTATTTTATTTTTCATGGGATTTTTATATAATATATAAAATATAGTCCAACGATGTGCTGACATATTATTGTCTTATGTACTTTAAGGATTCCAGCCATGGAAGCTGAAATTTTATCTCACGTTAGGCATTATCGGTTTGATTGTCATCGGTTTTATGGCAAACAATCACAAATTTACAATAAACAAATAATTTATATTGACTATTTGTAAATACTTTATTTGAGCTATCATTTTCATAACATTAGGGCCGATGGGTATTCTCTTTATTTAATTAACTTTAAAATAATATATTTATACAAAAAATTTGTAGGCTATGCTGCCCTCAAAATACTTTCGGTTAGTTGATTCAAAAGCGTATACAGACACTGAGGGTTTATCTTTAGCTTAAGTTAATTAGTTACCTAATTAAAGAACCATCTTTTTCCCCAAAAAATTAACAATAATTTATTTTTCCTTTACAGAACGTGGTGCCTATTCCGAATCTGACATCCCACAACCGGCCCCTCAAACCCAACAACACTGCCGTCGATCAGCATCTTCTCCTCCTCTCACTTTAACCTTCGACTCCGACTTAGAAGATGACGTCTTCGCTCCGAGATCCGATCGAACCAACGATTTATTCTCCACAAGGAACCTAGATATCTTCGGCTACGGTTCTCCAAGAACTCCTGCCGGAGCTCTCTTGAGTCCTCGACGAGAGAGGACTTTCACTTTCTCGTTGACGAGTGAGAAGCATTGGAGGGATAAGGGAGGGACAGATGTTGCTGATGGTGTTGATGATGCGGATGGGGAAAGCCTTGATGAGGTAAGCTATTTCTTCTTTATATAGTTGTAGGTTGTATGCTATTTAGGGTCTGTAAGGGCCTGCAAGCCTCGATTTAAAAATCTCTTTGGTTTTTAGTAACGGTGTTTTAAGATAACATCACTTTAATTATCATTAACTCACATAACACTTGAGTTAGGATAGCCAGGACTTCCGTTAGTATGGGAGTTATAAAAATATTGATCAAATCTACTGCTTAATGTTGAAGGATCGTAACATACCTAATGGTTGATGTGTTACCAAAATTATGTAACATAAAGAATAGTTATAGTTACCATACATAACTTTATTAAAGTAATTCTGTACCTACCTAATGTATTTATACAGTCAAAATAGTAGCTTATATAATATATTTAAATCTGCAATCAATGTAAATAATAAATCATTACAACTGGAAAGTTTGTAAACATCGTGACAATGTTTACAATAAGTATCTATACTAAGTGTAGGCATTATACATTTACTATTTAAACAAAATTCTTCGTAAATTTTTATCGACCAAAACAAACCACAAACTTCCTGTCCTAATTAACTATAGTAATTGGTATATCAGTCCAATTGCGCAATTAAAACATAAATATTTTTTAAATTCATCACGTGTCTGCGCATCTCTTTGTTTGGAAATGATTCATAATGTGACGTTGTTGCTGTATTGTCTATTAATACTCATAATAAGTATGTAACATATTATATGTAAACTGTAGTAGGTATTTGTAGTATTCTGATCATTTATATTACGTGGGAAATAGTAACATGAGTTTAAACATGCGATTTCTAATTATTCATGTCAAGTATGGAGTCGGCACTAAGAGTATCAACAAAAGTTTATGTTCTTCACCGATGAAATTTTCATTATATGAAAAAAACCTTTATTCTAACTCTGTAATAAAAAAAAAACTCCAGTTTATGAAATTAAATTTTATGGAACTAAAAGGAATGTTTGACTAAAATTTAAAAGAAATTGGTTCCTGACAATTTTTGCATAGCAATAAGTTGCAGTACTACAATATATTGCTGTAAAAAATGGGGCGCCGTTTAAATCAAATCAAATCAAATCTTTATTTGCCAACCAAGTGTACATCAATGATCTTATAATATTATATGTAGTAGTCCCAACTTAGAAGACTTTTCCAGGCATTGCAAAATTTGAGAGAGAACGCAGAAGAATAAATTGTTACACTAGTACAAGCATTTTTTGAACAATACAAATTAAGTGACTCAATTGTACAGTATAACAATCGAACGAAGCATGCAAAAATACGAAGGCACCCGACATTCTACATCACTAATACATATACACATTTTCCTACTGTCCCCAGCATTACCGTGCATCACGACCGATTTTTTTTTATGATTTGTACTTGAGGATATGCATTCTGTTTTCCGTGTAATAAGAAATGTAGTTTGTTAAGTGTTTTTTTCCTCCATGTATTCTTTAACAGAATAGAAACATTTTGTAATTAAGAATGCTTTTAGTTTTTGAATTAATAGTGTAGTCTTAGTTTCATTTTTTAAAAGAAGTCAAGAAGAAATCGCAAATAAGGAAAGATGAATCACACATAGATATTAATTGCTTTCGTAATGTGAATCTGTTCTTTTTTTAAAAAACAATTACTGATAAATTTAGTGATACATAAAATTAAAATAGCTAGAGGTTCGTATTAAAACATAGTACTAACTGAAATTCTCTCTCAAAAACGTTGCTAGCTCTTAGATTATAGCTCAGTTAAATATTTTTTTTACTATTAGACTTGCTGGTTATTTTTAGCACTAGCGAAACAACTAGCGCCTTCTATCGAAAATAATTCGAACTATCAATTTAATTCCAGGTTAATGAAATCCATAAGACCATAGGGTATTGGTCTATAAGACTATAAGTATTCCCTTTCCCAGAGTTTAAAAAAAAACAGTTTACTCTCATCCCATGACCGGCATGTACGAGTATGTAAAAGTTTATGCATTTAGTGAACCGTGTAATATTTTCATTGATTACATAATAAGTAAGCTCTGCGCACCTACCTTACAAGAGCCAAACTTCTACAAACTAGGTACAAAAGTGCATAAAGTTAAATAAAAAAATAATTATTCAATTACGGTATACTTTACACTACATTACTAAAATTGTTGTTCATGTTGCAGTATTCAGTTATGAAAACATCCATGACAAAACTATTCTTTCCACAATCGTACAAGTTATAACAACTAAGCAGGTATTTATGGCGTTACTAAAAATGTAGACGCGTATTCTGTGGTTAAGGGAACTGTTCATGGCGAGCATGTAAAAAGTATTAGGTGATCCTAATACGTTATACAAGATCAGATATTTAATTAACAAACCCTTAAAATATATAGAATTCCATTATTTAACTTTGGATTACGATACAAGAGAACAAATACTTAAATAAAAAACATGCATTGAAAAACAGATTTAAATATATTTAAAACTGTTTTTGTTAGGTTTTCAATATTATGGTAGGTACCTCAGTATGGAATTTTATTCAAACATCATAAGTGCGAAATAATTACGAATAAGGTTGATCGTAAAAAGGCTTGACTAAGACATCAACCAAATTTGAGCTAAATTATTGACATAAAGATTCCCATTTATGATTGTCTATGGTAGTCATAAACTAACATAACTAACCAAGTCAATATTAGATTTGGAAAGTTTCGTAACAGTGTACAAAACAAATATAAACCGAGTTCATATATTTTAATTTGTATAGACATTACTTGGCGACGTGCCATCTTTGCAAATGTACCTACTGTTTTCTAAGAATAATAATATCTCTGTGTGTTTAGGGCATGCACTTACGGCGCCTCTGTTGGAATAGTTATTATTTAATATTATGGGTTTATACGTCCCTCAATCTTAAGAAGAAGCAACCTTCCTAGTGACCAAGTATGAACCGCGACCACAGAACATGACAATTTTGATTGCGCGATGTAGGACCCTGTTAACCCTCTTAGAGACTTAGTTTAGGTTGTACACTAACAATGCAATAAACAAAATGAACTATACGGTAATCTAATAAAGCTTGTAATACAACTCCAAGTTTGGGAAGCTTCTTAGGCTTGATAAGAAGAAGGTTAGGACTATTCAGCCTCCAGGCGATGCAATTCTATCTCCAGTCAGAGGTCAACAGTATCTAGGAATGGAATAGTAGGTACTTGGGCTTTGAGATGGAAAACTGTCTGGTTTTAGTAGTTTCGAGTCTGATGTAAGGATTTCACTTTAGTTTTACTTGATTTTAGATGGTAGGATGTCAATTTAGAAAGAAATTTAGAACAGTATAAATTTGACAACACTTACAATATGTAGTATGTACCTACTTAATCTCAAATTTGTGACCGTAGTGGTCATGACAGCACAACAGAATCCGATGAGAAAGCGTACACAGGTACATACAACAACATTATTCACCTCTTTACTGCATTTACTACATTTTGTAGACTAATTATAGCTATAAGGTATAAAATTTATAATTTATTTGAATGAGTTAAAGAATTACACAGATGGGAAGGCATGGTTAGCCATATTCTTGCTTAATAATGTAATAACTGTTTAAGTAATCGTCTTTAAAGTATTGTTAAATTATCTACTAACCAATCAAAACTCATTTCACGGACTCCTGATATTAGCCTCGTAAAACTTAGCATTACGAACTATTCCGAACATTGCCGAAGTACATTTTATTAGCTGAACTAAAAAGCGTTAGTCACCCAATGTTATTCACCAATAAAATTAACGATGTCTTTACAATTGATGAATAAATCTTGTTTTACTGGCGTGAAGTATCGTCGTTATTGATCGGTGCATCATTAATAGTAAGGGAAGCAGTTTTCTGAACTTTTTTTACAGTTCTATATATTTTATAGGCTGGTATATATGTCATCACGCGCATCAATCAGCCTATTAAAAAATTAAATTATAATTTAATCATTCTTCAGTTCAACAACCTTTATTGCTGAAATAAAAAACACTTTTTGCTACATTGCACTAATTAATTAAATAATGAGAAGGATGCTTTTGAGGCTTCCCATTTTTGGTGTGGAAACCAACACGGGTAGTCAACTTGTGTTTCGTCATTTGTGAGTCTATTGAAAGGGACACGGGTATATTCTAGGAACGAAGTCCTCAAGAACATCAGTAGACTTTGGCTGCCATAGGCAGACATTAATGAATGAAGAGTGCCTTGCCCTCATTCTGGTTTAGAGGTCGTTCTGAACACGCCGAGCCACCGTCTGAGGTCTGTTTCTGCTAAGATGATGGACAGTCTCACTGTTACCCCCATAGCAATGCTCATGGAAATCGAATATCATATTGTGCTACCTTGCGCTTCACGCCCCTTCTATCGTATTCCATCCATCAGAAACAGATAGGAAAACATTGAGTTTTTGATATCTTCTTATGGATAAATAATTATTATTTGATTAAATAACCATCTCAGCAAATATGTCCAAACACACATATAACTTTACTCCTTAACAGCTTATGACCTTGTCAACACATAACGAATAAAAGTCGTATGTTTGTTCAGCAATAAACCGGTGCAAGTGTGAGTAGACTCCAACTGTAATAACATCTTAACTTTAAGTTTAAAATACGCTTAACTTATAGCCTTATGGTTCAAGTACAGTAGGAAACTTTTGTATTGGTCGGTGAAGCAATCCATACCAATATTGAAAATGCGAAAGTGTGTTTGTCTGTCTGTCTGTTGCCTCTTCACGGTTAAACCGCTGAACCGATTTAGATTAAATTTGGTATAGAGATAGTTTGAGTCCCGGGAAAGGACAAAAGATAGTTTTTATCCCAGCATTCATAATTTAAGGGGGTGGAAAGGGGGGTGGAAGTTTGTATGGGGAATCACTAACCGTTGACCCGATTTAGATGAAATTTGGTAAGAAGATAAATTGCTTCTTGAGGAAGAACCCAGGCTACTTCGTACCGCGGTAACCGACATATACGCCGCTGGAAAAAA